GATTGCCTTATGACATTCATCGCGATATTGAATTAGATATTGAAGACATTATAACAAAGTTTGGCCGAAAAAAATGTAGAAAAATGACATTTGTCTTGTAAATATTTCATGTATATAACAGAACAATGTTTTGAAGAATGTTTTTCAATTTAAAAAAAATCAAGAAGTTGAAGTGTTTGGCTTTTTGTTATTTATTTCATAAAATATCAAACCTCAGTTCAAAGTGGGGGGGCGATCGCCCCCACCGCCCCCCCTCTGGATCCGCCATTGAATAGATCAGCAACGTCCTTTATTTAATGACGATTACAGTTATACGAATCAATGGCGTTCATTAACGAAAATTCTTTTCCTGGCTGCATCACCTGAGCTCAAAGAAGTTGTACAAAACATATTTTTTGCTTTTTAAACAGAATTAAGCACAATATAAATTTTGCTACTGTTGTCAAGTAATGCGGAAATCATTGACAAAGTTTTCGTGACGAAATACTGTGCATAAGCGTTAAACGTTTTGGTAACTATTACCAGCTTCAGAGAAGAACAGTTCTATTAATTTTCAAATAATTTAATTTTCAATAACGTATGTTTCTGTATCCAACTATACCTAATATTATTAACAAACAAACTTATCATAAAACATTGCTATCCATCAGGCAGCCAGCCAGCCAACTAACTAGCCGTGATTTTTATTTTGCTTTTTTTTTGCACTCAAATGTTGAGTTTGAATGAAAAATTTTCTACTTTCCTTTCGTTTTTTTTTAATTTTAAAAATTGGAATAAAATTATTTGTTAGTTGTTTGTTTTTACTTGGGTTTCTTTTTGAAAGGAAATTCATCTTAATTTCAAATCAAATAGAAAGAAGGAATGTGACTACACATGACAGATGACCGTCAAAATAATTAATGGAAACTTGTCACGTGGAAAGCAGTCCGAACTTATTCTTTCGCCTGAGAGGTAAGAAGTGCTCGTCCGGGTGAAAAAATGAATAATGATGTGGTCGAACAGACGTGCGCGCAAGCAAACGAAGCAATTACAAACATTACTACTGGCAGTGCACAGCTAATGGTCTAACAACGACACTTTACAAACGCACCCAACTCTTCATATTCTTCAACACGTTATATCTTCTTCCTAGTCAACACCTAGATGGAAACCACCCAGCCATACATACCACGTGAGTTGCCATATATAACGAAATAATAATAAATTTATAAATATAAAAATAATAGAGAGAAAGAGAGAGAGAGAGAGAAAGAAAGAAAGAGATATTATTAATAGTTAAAATAAAATAAAAATATGAAATAAACATAAACACTTAAAATAAACATAGGGATTTATGTCATATGACGAGAGAGAGAAAGAAAGAGAAAAAAAGCATACAGACAAAAAATGAAAAAACTGAATGCGCACATAAGTTACTTGAAATTAGTTAGTTTTTATTTCTAATCTTTTTTCGTAAAGTCTGACAGTTTTATAAACAAATGAAAAAATGAAAAGTGTGTCCGATATGCTCAAAATATTCATAGTAACCAAAATTTCCATTAAACATTCATCTGACAAAAATTATAAATCCATGCAACAAATGATTAAGATACGATAATCGATGTTTAAAACATTAAGAATGATCGTAAAACATTTATGGACAACAAAAATATCTGCAGCTGAGGTGACAGGTTGGCATGGAGGTAGTAGCACGTCATATGTTCCCAGTCAATGAAAGCCACACAGATTGCTGCAAATTAAAAATAACCGTTTGAGATTTATGCGTACTTTTAAAAATTAACATTTCATAAATTTTGCTACAAAACTGTAAATATCGATGCAAATATCGCTAAAAATATCGCTACAAAAATAGATATATATGGCTCCTTTCTGTCTTGAAAGACAATGGATGCATTCTTTATGATTCTTCTTCATTTATTACATGTTCCTTTGTGACTGGACAGAACAATTCTTGAGTTACAAACTCTAGAAAGATTGGTAAATGTTAGGATGTTTCTGAAGGATTGACAAATGGCGGTGCTTTTTTTTGTGCCTTTTGGAAGCAGCTGCAAATCTATTAGATATTGGTGAGAGAATCTATTACATTCCCCCACCAAAATACCATTTCGAACATTTGCATTTGTTGACCCTAGATACGTAAATTGATCTACCAATTTGTTTCTTCTTTTGGCAAGTATTTAGGGATTGGTAAGAGTAATGGTAAGCCCAAATTCTCGATATGCATATCAATGAGAATTTGCAATCCCTCCGATATGAGTGAGATACAGGAGCAGCTGCATCTGCAAGCAACAGCTCTCTAACAGGAATGCGTCTTCTTTTTGTTTCAGTTTAAAGTCGAGTCAGGTTAAATAATTTACCATCAAATCTAAGTTAGATGTATACTCCATCATCCATGGCGTCAAAAGCAGCGGCAAGGACAACAGAAAAGAAGATACCAAAGAACGTTGGCGCCAAAACACATCCTTGTTTCATTCCACTGCTTATGGAAAACGATCCAGAAACCGATCCATTAAATTGGAAGGCTGTTATTATTATCACCAGCAGTTTAGAAAGGCAGCCAATATTTTCCAATACTGCAAATAAACTACTTCTATTAAGTCAAAAATTTTAGTATGATAAATGAAAGCAATAAAATAAAAAATGGTCGCCTTTGTTCTTTGCACTTTTCTTGCAGCTGTCGCAGAAAAATATCATATCAGCTGTAAATCATATCATATCAGCTGTATCATATCCCGCTCTAAAACCGCACTGAAATTCTCGCTTTGCAAAATTTGTAATCTTTTAACAAGACTCGAGCAAAGGCTTTTCCAACAGCATTTAGCAGGTAGATACTTTTGTAATTGTTACAGTTTGAACAATCCCATTTGTTTTTGTAGATTGTAACAATATTTGCATCTTTCAAATTTTGTGAGATAACATGCCGTTTCCAGCAAAAGCATAGCGACATGTGAAGTGGTTTCATTAAGGCATGTTTTGAAGCTTTAATAATTTCGACAGTAATACCGACTTCACCAGTTGCCTTCTCGTTTGCATGTGCACGAAAAACCAAACTAAGTAGTTCCGTTTTAGAAGATATCTCATCCGGCTCTGTCATAGTTGGCAAACCTTGAACTTATGACAACTCAGCTGCTGTAACAACACCCTTCGCTTGAAAGAGTTTTACATAATATTCAGCCCCTTTTTCCATTTGCGACATAAAGGATAATTCTAAGCAAACGCATGCGAACACAAACACAAGCACAGAAGTCGTACATCAAACAAAATGTACGTAAAATGGAGAGGACACAATCCGGTATGGCATGAAAATATGACTGATCGATAGCAACAGCCTGCATTGGAGATGCTCTCAATTATGCAGCCCCCACCCGCGGCGATTCAGTTGTGTGATTCAATAACGTATTGAACCTTTCACAAACAGTTTCTAAAATGGGTTCAAATGTATTTCCGATGTCGGAAACATCAATAAATTTTTCAAGCCAAATATGATCTTGATATGGATTGAAACGAACGATTTTCGCTCAATAAATAAATTAAGTTGTTTGAATAACTAACCTTATTTTGTCTCTGTTTTGTGTATTAACTTTTTGAACTATGATTTACAGATACGTTCATTACCCTACAGAAATTTCAAAACATTATTATTTGACATTGTCTATTTCCAAAAAAGCAACAAAAATGTTACACCTGCCTCAATATTGTTTAATTTCATTTCATGAATTATTCAAATTGTAATGCAAGCGTTAAACTTAACATTGAAAATGGAAATGATGAATAAAACGTGTGATGTGTGAGTGTGGCGGTGAGTTTGCCTCTGTGTGTGTGTGTCGTGTATGTGTGTGTGTGTCGTGTATGTGTGTTTGTGTGGCCAGTAGTTTTTTTCACGACTTAAACTCATCTAACTTTGCGAATTGAGAACATGATTAACGCGCCATAAATATTAGATGATTTTATATACCGTATTTATCGAAAGCAAGTTTGTTAAAGATTTTATTCTTATTCTCATTCAATTTGCAAAATTTTTACAAAATTTTTATTAGAAAGAATCTGTTTTAAATGAAATTAATTTTATATTTATATAATATAAAATGAATATTCAAAATTGAATAAAATTTCTATTTAATTAATTTTATCAAGAATTCTATCGTTAATTCAATCAACAATTACTATTAAACATTAACCGGCATTTTATTAACAGGATAAGTGTCTTTGATGTTATTTCGATTCATAATTTAACAAAAGTTTTTGCTCTTAGTTCGCCGATTGTTTCAATTTTAAATCGATGGAAAACGTAGCCAGAATGTCCAAATCCAATCTAAACTTGACCATTTCCTACCGACTCCGATCAACTCTTTAAACGGTAAAAAATGGTCATCAAGCAGTATTCCTTTCAACAAAACACTATAAACAAGAATTACGAAATATAGCCATATAGGGGGTTATCGACTTTACAATTTTTTCAACTATTATAATTCTTTACAACTTTAAAAAATACCACAAACGTACGATACAACGACAGAGAGATTAAAACCATTTTAAATAAAAATTTTAAAACTTATTTTTGCGCAAAGCATACATAGCACGCAAACAATTACATCAGCATAAACAAACAAACACAAACAAACAAACATGAGCAGAGAGAACATACCACACCAACCAACATCGTATGTTTACCCACGAAGCCGCTAGCAAAAGCGTGCATACGTGATTAGCGAGCTGTGGTGGTCCTAGCAGTAACAACATGCGGAAGAACATGCCAGATGATTGAAATGAATATTTCAGTCGGAAGTACAATCTAAGTTCACTTTTAACAAAAAATTAATTTAAAGACTCTTCGTTTTCAATGATACATATATATCTTTTAAATATATTTATTCTAAATAATTAGAAAAAACCTTGTGATC